TTGATAGTTGTAAGTAAAAATTAAAACCAATAGGAGGAACCATCAGAAAGAGGAAACAAAACTCAATAGAAGAGAAAAAAAGATAGCAATTCAACTTCCATAGTTCCTTCTTTGGATGTGGATAGCATTTCCCATCACGAGGCCTCTGGAGATGTCTTAGACCCTTGTATTACTAGGAAGGGTTAAGTTTATCAATATTAGTAACGTTCTCTTGGTTCTGCTCACTTCACTCAGCATCAGACCATATAAGTCTTTCTAGGTTTTTCTGAAGTCAGCCTGCTCATCATTTCTTATAGCACGATAGTATTCCATTACATTCATATACCACAGCTTGCTCAGCCATTCCCAATTGATGGGCATCCCCTCAATTTCATGGAATGAATTTTTATAGAGTTTATTAGCCATTCTCAGACTATGTGAATTAGACCATTCCCTCTGGAGGGTAGAAGGCAAACTGCCCAAAAGAGTCTTCCGAAGAAATTGGGTGGATTACATCTCATTGCAAGGCCATTAGAATTGATTTGGCTGAGCCTTCACTTGGTCTCCGTGACCCACAGCACATTGGCAACAAGGAGGAGCCTGAAGACCAGGGCCCAGATAGCCCAAGCACATGGCTTGGGTTTGTACCAGAAAGTCAAGGCACTGCTTCAGCCTGCAGTTGCTACAATTGTCATTGTAAACTCTAAGATTAAATGGATGAGAACTAGCTCCTGATATGAGAACATCTCTTTGACCCAGATATAATGCCGTATGCTTAGCTTGTCTCCTGTTCACAAAAGATGTTGGTTGATGTCACTAGGACATTATTTGGGGAGATGTCACCCTGAGTTACCACAGTTATGCTTGGTACTGCCTACCCAGGAAAAGGCATGGGAAGAAGATGTGATATTAGACACACGTCATCCTCGTTCTGAAGCACTGCCTCTTTTTTCTCCCAAGACTTTCCTGATAATTCAGAATGAAAATAAAAACCACCTTGAAGGACTTGCATCCCCTTCTGTTAGAGCATGTCACTTTACTTGCCCTTTTTAGTCTCCTGCTGCCTGTTAGTGCTTATCTCTCCCACACTGGTCTGAGCTCATGCTTATAGGAGTATCCCTTGCTTATACTAATGAATTCTTCTCTCATCAGTTAAGAGATTGTCCCCTAGAACAGCCCCATTTGGTTTTACATGATGTCAGTTGGTTATGTAACTACCACTTATACTTTTCATTTTAAAATTCATCTACTTCCACATTTTAGTCATTTATCTACTTGTCCAGATTGAGTGAGGATTCACTTGTATTATTGCTTAATAAACAGAAGTGCTCTAACAGTAGTCCTCAGAAGAGGATCAGAGGAGAATGCTTGGGACAGTCAGTATCCCTTTTCCTAATTGTAAATGTCTTGGAACTTCTCCTGGGGGTTGCTGATGGCCTTTCTCCATCAGTTTAGCAAGGTACTGACTGATGACTTGGGTCATTTAGGCATCTACTATGAGCTTACTGGACTAATGATATCATAAGATGGCTATCAGACCACATGTCTCAATCTTGTTTTCATCTCGACCTCCAAACAAAGCCACCCTCCACCTTAGTCAGTCTAGTACATGTTTACTTCTATCACCAGTATCTAGTCTTTTCTTATCCTGGAGATTAACGGCACAATCATGTGGGGAGAGTATGTATAGAGTTCCAAGTGTTACTAGTGTTATTCTCTTAAGTATATACTTCGGTTTCCTGGCGGTCTCCCATTTTAACAGGCTGTTTTCAGGCTGAGAGAGCCAGCTTTGTCACCCACCTGAATTTGGTCTCAGAAACATCTATTTCTGGAGTTTGTTAGGGCGCTTTTGGATCTCTGGTATACTCATGTATTTTGCATTTGTTACTAGGGGAATCACTTCATCCTATTTAATAAACAGGGATCTTTATCTGTGGGTAGCTTCCTAAAGACTATTGATTTATACCTGCCAAAAAAAAAATTCCTTATACATTCGCTTTATTTTTAAATCCAGAAGGAGTTAGTTTAACAAACTCAAACTCCTTTGGTGACAGGTCACCAAATTACTCTGGGCCTGTGTTCTCATCTGTTTAAAAAAAGGAGGGAGTACAGCCTAGATGACCTTTTGAATTTCTTCCTGTACTAAATCTATCATTTTGTCTTCTTAAAGTGAATTGGAAGCCACCTGCCCTCAGTTTATATTTTTTTTACCTCCTACATTCAAAAGCACCAAAAATATCCACTCGTCTCACCCATCTGTGAGGGGCAGAGCTCCTGGAGGAGCAGGGTAAACTCCTTAAAGTAACAGACCTTGCCTAGAGACTCTCAAGTTGGCAGTGAGCCCTAACAGCATGAATCTGTTTGTAGCTATAGAGGAACAGGAAATTACTTTGGTTTCTTGGAGGATTTTTGGATCCAGTCACTAGCCCCTTTTCTTTTTGTAAAGCAGTAAGTACTATGCCTTGAGTCTGAGTTCTTAGCTGATGGATGACATTTCTTGGAGAGACAGCAGCATTCTACCCCTTGCTTCTTTGAACTGAATTTTATTTGCAGATCTTTTCTTGATGTATCTCATAGCATCTGAGTATTTTCCAATGGAAACTCCTGACTAGCTAATAAAAGAGTGTGATTAGGGAGTTCACATCATCACTTTTAAAACAGTGCCCTAATGAGGAAAAGCAGTAACTTGAACAGTACAAATTTTCTAGTATTCCACTGAGCTTTCTCCTTCCTTAGACCTCTACAAAGAAGTCAGATGATGAAAAACTTTTCAAATGAAGAACAAAATCCTTATAAGGAGGAGGGCACAAGCCTGCTGTAGCCTGAAAATTAGGACAGAGACTTTTCATTTCTCATGACCTATTTTTCAACCTAATTATGTATTTAAAGCTAAAGTATACCTGCCAACCACAGCTGTGGTGCTAATCTTATGTGGGGCCTTAATGGTCCAAAGAATTAAGCATTTCTAAACCAAAGGGGTTTTTCCTAATAGCATAATTACCGGTATGGAGCCACCTTCCACTTTGTTCCAGGAGAAACTTCACCAGTGGAGCCAGGCAGTGTAAGTGGCGGGCTCAAGGCATAAACAGGGGAAAGGGACAGGAAAAAGAATGAGGAAGGGAACGAGAAAAACAGGCCATCTGAGAAATGTAGGCCATGAGTTTTTTTTTAAATGGTTTTTTTGTTTTGTTTTTTTGGTGAGGCAGTCGTTGTTAAGTTACTTGCTTAGGGTCACACAGCTAGTAAGCCTAATTTGAACTCAGGTCCTCTTGACTCCAGGGCCGATGCTGTAGCCACTATGCCTAGTGCCCCGTAGGCCATGTTTACTGACTGCGTTTACTGCAGCTGGAAGTTCAAGATTACCTCTCTTCAAAGAGGATAGACCCAGAACAATCATTAGTTGGCTGATGGACAGAGCTGCTACTCTTAGTTCACCTCTCCAGGCAAATTTGTTACCAAACTTGTTTTTATGCATCCACCGGTGGGTGCATAGCTGTCCCAGCTCTAGCATGGTTTTGGGAGGAAGGAGGCTTTGGCTTTTTGTCTTGGCCAGTGACTCAGTGACAAATGTCACTCAGCTCTTCTGGATTTCCCACCTACGGGAGAGTAAGATGTTTGCTGTCACCTGCTTCATAAAGTGTTGGGGAGATCATCTAGTTGATGTGGTAAAATACGAGAATTCCTCAAGTGATAGGCCCCAAAATGGAAAAAAGTGTCACGACTTAGGATGATAATTACTGGAGTTTTCTGCATCTGGAGATTCATATCTTCCCAGCATTTGGTTTTAGTGAATTCACCTTAGTTTTCTTTGTGTTTTCTGTTTTTCTCATTCAAGCCTAACTATGGGACAACTTTATGAGAAGGAAAAAGACGAAGATGGATTCTTGTATGTGGCCTACAGTGGAGAGAACACGTTTGGCTTCTGAAGGCCAGTGCCCAAGTCGGTGCATCTGTCCTGCTTGTGTATCTTGTAAATAGCCGGTCCCTTTCAGTCACTGCACCAGACCCTCTTCACATAGACCCATAGTGCATTTGTAACTGGATTTCTTTCTTAATATATTGAAAGGTCTTGTTTTATTAGACGGGTAAATTATCAGAGTTTTATTTGCATTTTCTTTTCTTTGTCGAGCATTGTCCTCATGGCTGCAAGCTCCAGGGGGCTCTGCTCCTCCAGAACTCGTATCTAATGAAGTGATTTCAATATTGAGATGAGGTGAGAAGGGGGAAGATAACACATTCTTCTGGATTATGTTTGAGGTGTTAGTTGGCCAAGTATTAAAAGCATCCAAGTTAAATCCGTAGCAGTCAGGTCACTTGCTTCACTAGATTATTCCAACTGCCAATCATGTTGGACTGAGCTAATCTGTTCTTTCTGAACTCTACTGAGGTGAATAATTACAATAAAATTTCCTCTCACAAAGGCACTATAGTGTGACACTGTCCTTCATTTCCCTCTCTTCTGGACTAAGTAGCTAGTTGTTGCCTATTGAAAAAGGAGAGCAAGTGGGAGTGCAGACAGTTTGAAGTGAGTGGTTCCTGCTGGCTGCTCATGAAGGGGACTAGTCAGTCCCACCTGCATAAGCCTAAAGCCAAGATTACATCCTACAGATGCCAGAGTTACCGCTGTGGTGCTAAGAAGTAGTAGGAGACAGCATGTTCTCCGCTTATTTAGGAACAATCAGGTGTTGCCTAAATAAGGGGCTCTTGTTTCTGCCCTTACTTTCTTTTCCCAGGTGCTGATTTCTCAATCCTTTCTCTCCAAAAGCAAGATGAGAGATAGGCAGGTCAGTGATTTCCTCCTGTTTGCTTTTAGGAAACTGTTGCAAATGCCAATGCCTTCACTTAACACACAGACTAGGAGACTTGGAAGTAGAGCTGATTGCACTCTCCACTCACAGGGATTTAAGGAGCTGGTTCTTTTAAAAAGCCCCAAATTATACAGGCAGTTTATTAAAGTCTGCTTGTTGTGTGCTTACAAAAGCTGGAACATTCCCCATATAAATCGGGTGGAGGAAACAGTCTCACTTTGCTACTGCATACCCTGCTGGGCTGTCACAAATCTGACATACTGGAATCGGTACCTCCTCGCTGGTTTCCAGCAGAGGGGAAATGACTTCCAAAGGGAAGGAGATCTAGAGAAGCCTTTAGGGAGGGGAGGACAGAAGGGAACTGGAGAATTGTTGCAAATCTCTCAAAAGATCTCAAAGGAAAAGCAGATCCTACCTAGAGTCAACAGGATGTGGTAGAAACAGCATGGAACTGAACTGAGTCAGAAGACCTGGCTCTACCTCTTTTTAGCTGTGTGACATTGGGCAAATGATTTAATCTGAGCTGAGTCAATTTGCCCATCTGTAAAATGGGAAGATTTGTGTGAGGATGAATATAGCTGGTGTATGTGGAAGCACAGCTTTCTAAAAAAGAACAGTAAAGTCAGCAGAGGGAAGCTTGAGTTTCTCTAGTCATCGGCTATGCCATTTACTTTGCTTTTCTCATGTGACCAATCTTTGTTTTCTTTGGTTAAAATGAAATGTTTTGTGAAAAACATAATACTGAAAATCAATTTAACTACGTAAACTTGTTTAGTAACCATTTCCAGTTAAATTAATTTCAATGAATAAACCATTATAACTTTTCTTTTTTTTCCCATGTCTTAACTATGTACCAATCTTCTCTCCTTGCCTCAGCAGAAGAGCTCCCCAGTAACAAATATGTGTAGTCTGATAAAAGAAGTCGATACAGTAGCCATGTCTAAGAATGCATGTTTGTACCTCTAGTTCAGGGTTTATTCTTAACCTTGTTCTCAGAAATTTTAGTTTCTTTTGTCACCATACACAGTATGTATTTCATGCATTTAACAACATGATTCTGAGAAGGGGTCCGAAGGAATCACCAGACTGTCGCTGAAGGGTTCCAGGACAAAAAGGCTAGAAACTGTTTTGGTCCCTCCCCCCTCTGCCAGGGGCTGAAAGGTGTATTTCATCTTCAGTCTTCTGAAGTCATGACTGGTTGGTTGCTACTGTAGGTCAGAGTTGTGATTTACTTTCATTTTCCCCTCCTGGGCAATAAAAGGGCGAGTGAACCCAAGCTCTCTAGCCACTAAACAAAATTCAGTTAAAGTAGCTTTAACCACTTGAAGTACAAATGAAACCAATAAAAGTAGATTTATCTGTAAATGTCCCATCTTTTAAAATATACTAATAATAACTGACATTAATGGTGCTTTAAGGTTGATAAGGCACCTCGCCTATATTATCTCACTTTCAATTTTACAGATGTTAAAACAGGCTCTGAAGGTAGACTTATCTATGTATCAAGCAAAGGATCACCCTCCTCCCATCCCCCAACTCCAGCATAAATTCCTCAAAGGCAGATTTGTTTTGGCCTTTCTATCCTCAGTGTCTTGCAAATAGTACTTAAAAAATGCTTATAAAATTGAAGTCACTTGCCTCCAGCATAATGTTGGACTTGCTTGACCTCAAGTTTGTGATTTTCCTTTTAAATCATACTACCACCCTTGGGATTCTTTTCTGGCATCTAATGAGGACCTCCAGTGTAACTTAAAAGCTCCATCATGTTGGTTGTAATTTGATAGCAGCCTCCACGACAGACCACAGCTATGGAGGACGCTGAGAGCATTCAAGGTAAGGTCAGAAGATGGAGCTAACAGGGAACTAGAAAGCCAGCCACAGCAGGACTGAAAGGCAGATGATTAACTAAGACTTTGACCTCCTTCAGCAAATTTTCCCTCACATCTTTGTTTCCTAAGGGAGGGAAAAAACCCCCAGGCCAGGCTGTTGTCAGGAGAGTGGGAGGATGGGGCCAGTTTATACACAGATCTGGAACTCTGCCTTCTCTTCCTCCTCCTCACTTTATCCTTCAAGTTGAACTGTTGATTTTAGGTGGAGGATGAGGATGAGGGTCACCACAGGGCTTTATGGACACAGAACCAGGCTATCACATCCATTAACCAGAGCTCTAGAAACCTGGGCCAGCAAGTTAAGTCCAGGAGTCTTAAATTCCAAGGAGTTGGTGGTTCTTATGTTTTGACATCAAAATATCTCAAGCATGTAAATTTAAAAAGCAATAATCCCAACTTGCCTTTAAAAAAAATTAAAATCTCTTTCTGCCATTAAACTCATGGGACATAGAGGGGGTAAATGACAGACTCTGCTGTTGGCACTTGTGAGAGAACATAGCATTGAGCAGGAGCCATAGCAGCTTGGAATCAGCAGGAATTCAGGCTTGGAGGCCTGGCAGTGCCTCAACGAATGCACCTGATAGCCCATCACCGAGCAGGCCTGGCACTTCCCTCTGCTCTGTTGATTATGCCTTGAAGGCATATGACCAGGAGATGAAGGGGATCAACAGAAGAGAAGGATGGAGTCCGAGTCGAGGATATAAAGAAAACACAAAAGGAGAGCACAAGTTGAAGGGATGCACTGACTTGCACAGGCCAGAAGTCTGAAAAACTGCAGGTGGGACTGCAAATATTTTTTGCAGATAGGAAACATGTTTGCCCAGTTAACAGTCATTCCAAGAAAATGAGAACAACATCTGTGAGGCCATATTCCCATCCTCTGTTGCCCAGTTTAATAAAACTCTAGTTTCCTAGAGATTGTTCCTATTTATATGGGCATATTTGGTGCCCACGTCAGCACTTCTGCTTCCTGTCCGAAGTAGACGTTTTGTTGGGGTGTAGAGCGCATGAGGGAAATGAGCGTGTGATTGGCCTGGAAAGATGGGCTGGAGCCAGATTGCAATGGGCTTTAAATGTCAGGAGTTTGTACTTTATTCACTGAAGCTTAAGCCAGGAAATAACATGGTCACAACTGTGGAATATCCATTTGGCAGTGCTATGGAGAATGGGTGACAGAGGAGAGAGTGGATACAGGGAAATCAGTTGTGAGGTAGTCTAATTCAGGAAGAGTTGAGGTGGACCTGAATGAGGGTAGTGTCCCTGGCAGTGGCAAGGGATGACATTGTGGAGGTGATGAGATTTTGCAATTAGATAAACGGGGGAGGGAGAGTGAAGAACTGAAAATGAGTGACTGCTATCTTCAACAGAAATGGCAAGTTTGGAGAATAGGTGTGTTTTAGGGAAAAGATGAGATGTTTTAGACATGAGTGAAATATCTATGAGTATAAATGTCCAGCAGGTAGTTGGAGATCTAAGATTGGAACTCAGAAGTGAGATTAAGGCTATATATGTAGACTTAAGTCAATTATATGGAGATGACAGGTCAACCTGTGGAAGCTGGTAAGATAACCAAAAAAAGAATGTAGAGCGTCTAGGACAGGCCTAGATTCCCCAACCCTATTATTCTAGGAGATAAAGGGGGAACTCTGAAGAAAGCATACCCATCTTTCAGGTGAAAGCTAAGAAATCTGAAATTGTGTACTTCTGATTTTTAAGAGAAAATTCAGAATGTACTTAGTCTGATGGATTTCTCTTTGTAGGTTATATGGAATCTATTGGTACTTAAGACTCACTATCAACCCAAAGTTTTGGATTCACTGTCTAGGCTTCCAAGTCTCTGTGCCAGACTTCCTCAGAAGGGGCTTCTGATGTAAAGTGTTTTGAGAACCTTAGGGTTGAGTTACTTCACCTCAGTGTGGGAGTAAGGCATTTTCCTTCCATTTAATGACCACGTATTTCCTTTCTGGAAAAGGAACAGCTTTATTTCAGAAGGGGCACAAGAGAGGGCAATAACTGTTGAAATATCCACACTGTTCCAAGTTGTCTTGCCAGAGTCAAAGAGGAAATTGGTATAAAGACTAGAAAACTTTGGCTAAGATTTGTTCAGCCCATTGTTTTTCAACCCACCTGAGAAGAGGCAGCTCTCCATAGAAACAGACATTACCAAATCAGGCAGTGCCAGGGCAGTTTGTGCCAGGGATTGATCATTTTCCCCCACATGAGCCTCTCTCTCCCAGACTATTAGCTAATGCTTGGCACTGCTACTACAAAATGAAGCACTTAATATAGTTATCCACAATTCCCATTACAATTTATGCCCAAGGGCCATTCAAAGAATACATTCAAATATAATGCTATTTAAGCCAAAGAAAAACTTTAAAACATTGCATTTGCTCTCTCCTAGGAGTAGGATTAGAATCCACTAAGAGCTGAAGCAACATTAAACCGACCTCCTCCACAGGCTAATTTAGTGAGATTATAAGTAAAGCTATCTAAGGCTGCCTTAATTTTTTTTATACCTTTAGGGTGGGTCCAGTTCCCTAGGCACCACTACAAGTTGGAAGATTCTTTTAGGAAAAGGTCATTTTAAAATTGGAAGTAGTCATCAACTATCTGTAAATGTTGGAAGAAGTATACTTTCTTCTGGTTGGGAGGCATGACGTTTATGCTTCCTGGTTGCAGAGATCTCCTTTTATAAAAGAGGATGTTAATTACTTTGGTGTCTGCTAGCCTGAAGGGAGGGGTATTTCCTTCTAAGGCAGGACTCCAACTTCCTGATGAGATTCCTTTCACTCCGCACAAAAACAAGCTTCACTAGGATCTGATTAAACAGATGGAAGCCCCAGATTATATCTCTTGAACACATTTAATTTTTTGGGGGGTGGGGATATTGTCTAAGAGCCTATCACAACATGTGACAGATGCCAAAGACAGTCATTTGAAAAAAAACATCACATCTTATCAAGATGCCATTTTACTACAGAATTAATTCCAATCAGTTCTAATTGGCTCTGTGTTCCAGAATGAACATCTGCATAGGCTAAACATTTTAAGATCCTTTGGCAAAAGCTTTGCTTTTCCTTAGCTAACAGAAAAGCTGAGATTTGTCCAATATGAGTAAGTGGGACACAGGTTGGAAAGCATCCTGTCTCTATTGGGTTTGTGGGATTTTGTCTTCTCGTTTAAACTGCTGATAATCTGGGGAATTTCTGATCCAGGAGCCAAATGCCTGCTTCTGAAGTGTCTTCCAGGCCTCTTGATAGCCGGCTGCTGCCTCCTTGTATTCCCAGTATGTTTCCAGCTTCTTGACCCTAATGCCAACACACATCCACATGTAAAAGCTGTTCCTGAATATCAATGCACTATTTCAGCCAACACAACCAGCCTAAAACAACTGGACCAAGACAGCAACTCTTACTGATTGGTAAAGGGAGTTTCCCGAGGAGCCCTTTACAGTAACAATGCTAATTACTACTGTAATGACAGATTCTGCTGAAGTAAAATAAATACAGATAGCTGCACCAACTTCTTGGCTAAGTTTTCTCAATGATTTATGATCTAGCCAAGGTGCCGCAGCTCACGGCTCTCCAGCCACCTCGTTTGTGCACTGCCCGCAGAGGACACACATCAGGGCCTTTATCAGACACAATCAGCTCTCCACTCTTTTTTTGGACACCAATTTCTGCAGTGGGGCTGTCATATTTAGGATGCTCAGGTGCAGTTAAATGGTTTGCTGTTTTTCTCAGTGCCTGAACATCTCACCCACTTAGGGAGTGTCTCCCTGTACTAGAGTCTCCTCAAGTTGTACGATGAGGACTTTGGAAATCATCTAAACCAAAACTTACAGCTGTAACATGTTATAATTGTTTATTCATGTTCTTCATCGATCCTAAATTCAACCCCCTTGCTTCCTATCTTGTGATTTGCTGAGACACTTCCCACAGTAGAAACCTTTTTCTGGTAACTAAGCATATAACTCAGTAATTCTATTAACCCCCACCATCCTTTGCCACCCAAGGCACACAGTCTGTAACTTGGGCTGGAAAGCAGTGTGTCCAGTGGGTTTGTGTTAAAACAAATCCAGCTTTGATGCAGTCCATTCTCCTGTACCAACAACACAAGTATCTTAGGAAGCCAATGGCACCTGACACAAGCTACTGGCCACCTGGACATTCTGAATGTGCCACGGCTCTATCTCTTTAGACAACACCCTTTTCAGTGGTAGTTCATCTTTGCGGTTGTCCTGACAGAGCAGTTGTGTTAGGTTCCCTGTGCTTCTGCTCTCCAGAAGCCACTTAATTCCTGTGAGAAAGCAAGACACTTGATGGGAATACAAAAGGAGGAGGGAGGGAGTTCCTAACAGAAAATTGAAGACACCAGGGGCTACAGCTGCTCTGAAAATTTATTTCCACTGTCATTTGACTAAGGTTCAGTAAAAGCTAATTAACAACAGTCTTAGCCAAAATTCTAATCCTGGCTTTGTTTGCCACTCACTGCATGATCCTCTTTGAGTCTTAGAACCAGCCCTCCCGTCAGCCACAAGAAATATCTTCTAAGAAGGAGATGGAGGAAAAAGGGGTCAAAAAAACTGCCTGTCCATAAAGGAAGTTGGGACAATCATCTCTGCAGGAAGCTTTCAGGCACTCAAAACTCGAGTATTAACAGCCCGACAAAAGAGTCTTTCAACAATGACATGGGATTGGTTACCTGAGAGATTCAGGTCGCTTGTTCTCAGAAATACTGCTCACTAGATTCAGGAACATGTTGAAGAGTTCCACCTTACAGACTTTGGATCTGTTTAAGAGAAGGAAGGAGTCAACAATTAACTCACTGAATGTTGAGCACGCCTGCCCAGCACTGTGTTAGGCACATGAGAGGATGTAAAAGACTCATTACTCCTCTAGGGGGCCATGGCTTGTTCTGTGCACCTGAGACTTCCATCTATACATGAAACTATGGGAGAACATGTAGTCAGTGCTGCCGAGTGCATACAAAGGACTGTAAGAATTCATAGAAGGCAAAGAGCATTGTTGACTATGCTAGTGAGAAGGCCTCAGGAAAGAGGCATTTGGGCAGTCTGTAAAGAAAGTAAAGGCTAGAGGCATCACATTTCGGGTATGAAAAGTGGACAGCATTAGCAAAAAAACACCAGGATAGGAATGAGCATGGCATATGTGGCAAATGGCTGTGCTCTCACTGAAGAGACCTGTAACAGGATGTGGCCCTACAGTTCTGTGTTACTCAGGGAGCTGGTCTTCATCATGAGATGGACCCTTTGGGAAATACACCTCCCTAGCCAGACGCGGCCTCTAGCCCGGAAAGCTCATCTAGATGAAAACGAGTCTAGTAACTATTTAGTGTGCTAAGTGCTATTACTGACTCAATGTTATACTTGGGAGAGAAAATGGGAACACTGGAGAAGTGGGAAGTTTAAGTTTCCAAGATCCATTCAACCTCAGTCAACCCAGGTAGACAATTGTGTCCAAGACTTGGGTGTTAATGGGGTTGACTAGGCTGCAGGGCCTTAGAGATTCAGAACTTAGCATGCACGGCCCTTAGTCACGGGAGCCCAGAATGAGCACAGACTAACATGCATGAAGGCCCACTTTTTTGGTGAATTCTGTTATATAGAGGGTGTATAACTTTGTACCTGACAGGCTGTCTATTCCCCTTGTTACTGACCTACATGGATCCCGTGGGCAGGGACTTAGAGAGCTGCTCCTGTCTGTCTCTCTATATGTGTGGCCTTACTGAGTGTGTGTTTCCATATCCTTAGTGAATGTTTATTTGTATTTAGTCAAAGGATAATGTTATATTAGCATTTGCCTCATTGACCCAATCTCTCCAGGCCAGTCTGTACTTGGCCTAACACCACTGTTAAAGTGCTGGGGTGATGACGGATGTGGACACAAAACCAATAAGTAATCTGAGCAGGTGACAAACTGGCTACCTAAAAAGAAAAAACACCACACTGCCTTAGCTCCTTTTCACCACCTGGTACACATCCCTAGAATGGCTGCCGAACCAGTCTTTAGGGCCAGTGGGTACAGGCTGTCTGCTGCTCAGCCCTGGCAGCTGGGCTAGAATCAGAGGTTCTTAACCTGGCACGCCTGAACTTGTTTTTAAAAAGATTTTGGCAACTATTTCAATATAATTGGTTTCTCATGTATTTTATTTTAAACATTTAAAAACATTTTGAGAAGGGGTCCATAACAAAAATGATTACGAGCCTCTGTTTAGAACCTGATTCCGACCAGGCTATTAGTTTGGAAGAGGAAAAAAGGAATTCTTTTCACTAAAACCATAGAGATGTAGAACAGGTTTCTTCAGGCTGGCTAATCAAGCACGTCTGGAAGGAATGCAAACAATACTGTCGTATCGATCCTAAAAACGATTCTGATGAGTCCACGAAACAAGAACAGGAAACCACTGCTAAGCCTAAAAGCCCATTCCCCAAACACTAGTAAACACTCCAAGAACGACCCTCGGAGTCAGTCCAGCTTAGTGAGCTGTTTCTTCTTCAGCCTCTTCAAGGCCTTCTCTAGAATAGACTTGGGCCAAGATGTAATAGCCTCAATATTTAGTAACAAAAACATCAATCAGGAAGAAACAGAAGCATCTAACAAATCACTAACTTGGTGAGCCTTCAAGAAAAGTGGGCCACTGTCACAAGCCCACCACCTCTGAACTGCTTCCAAAACTAACGGCCTAAGTGACTGTGACTTCTCTTTAGCAGAAACTCATTCCTGACTCTAACTTTTTTTGTTTTTTTTAGAACCTTCTTTTCAGAAAAGATCACTGAGGAGTATGTAAAAAAAGGGGCTGGGGATCTATAAAACCCAGGGGAAAAAGTCTGTCTTCTTTTCCTTGCCCTCAGTAGATTCTGGTTTTTTTATGACAGTCATTTCCCTATATATGCTCCACTAACTCACATCCCTCCCCTGATATCAACAACCAGAAATTAAGCAAAACTGACCAAGACAGCAATCACTTCTGACGTCATACCAGAGTTCCTCCTTTCTCTACCAAGATGGTGTGTCACCATTTCTTCTCCAGGGCCAAGAGCAGTCATTACCTTTAAGGTGAGTTCTGCTGCCTTTCAATGTTGCTTTCATTTATATTTCGGAAGTCAGCTTATGTTATTCTGGCTCTGCAGTTGATAATTCTTTCATTGTGTGCCTTGCTTCTCTACATCTGTCACATCTTGTGGTATAACAGTATTACACCACACTCCGATACCAGTTTATCTAGCTGTTCCCCAGTTGATGAAAATCCTGTTTCCATTTTTGGGAGGCTACAGAAAAAATACTGCCACAATTGTTATGGCATGTGTTCTTTCTGACTCTAAGGATATATCCTTCAGTAGGCTCACTGGGTCAAAGGGCATGAACAGTTAAGTGTGATTTCTGGCGTAATTCTAATTTCCCAGAGTAGTCAGAGTATGTATTATTGTTGTGCCTAGCAAGTTGTTGCTAATTTTCCACATTTTCTATGTTCTGTTAGATGTGATGAGCCATTAGGGATAGCCCCTGATTTAGTCTGCCAAATACACTAGGTTATCAGTGAAAATAAACAGAAATGAACTCACCATCGTGCAGACAAGCAGCTTAGTGAAAGACCTGAAGAAAGTTCACAAAGCTCCAGAGATGAGTGTTTCACTCAGGCCCTCATTCTCAGACTGCTAATGCCTTTAGACAGCTCACTGTGTTAAGAGTATCTTGGTGACTGGTGTTTGTATTTTGATTTAATAATCGATGTTCTTAGAACATCATGGAACATTCTGGAGTGTCATGAAATCAGATTAAGACTAAACCAGCACAGCTCACTCAGCTATGCCCTGAGGCTACGAAAGCTCTACTAACTTCATGGTGCTGGGAGGGAGGTGCACAAGGAACTTAACTGCAAACTCCAAGACTCCAAAATCTATTGGTGGACCCCAGTAAGAAGAACGGAGAAAAAATCCACACTGTTAACTGTTAAATGTTAAGAAGTTTAGGAGCAGCTAGGTGGCGCAGTGGATCAAGCACCAACCTGAAGTCAGGAGGACCTGAGTTCAAATCCAGCCTCAGACCAAACACTTGACACTTATTAGCTGTGTGACCATGGGCAAGTCACTTAACCCCAATTGCCTTAAAAAAAAAATTATAGAAGCTTAAAAGAAAATCAAAGTTTCTGATGGAAAAGCCATTTTAAAATGGCTCACAAAAAGAAGGACAACGTCTAGTGGGGAACAGAAGTTGGAATGAAGAACTCTGGCTTCTGGTCTTGACTCTGCCAAGATGAGCAAGAATATCACAGGGATGAAAAGGCTTTTGCTTTCCCAAAGTCTGGAGGACAGGACCAACATCCCAGTGACCCACACAGAAGACGGCTGTTTGTCTTTCTGCCACAGTCAAAAAACTGTTATCCCTGTGCAAATGTGGGCTGTCCTCTCTCCTAGAAGAGAAAGGGACTCAAAGAATGCCTTCCATTCTCCATGTTATCAGGAAAGAAGAAGGGCGTGGATATAAAAATGAAGAAAAAGGAGCTGAAGAGGCAGAGAGGTCTCCTGACCTGCACCAAAAGATCTTTTACTAACAAGGAGACACCAATTGCTGAAATAAAATGGTAAGGACCTGGAGAGTGGGGGTTGGGTGCAGGGTGTGAATACTCAGAATTTGTGATAGAAAAGAGAAAAACTGGGCATTGAGCTCAGATTTTAGAAGAGCAGATTACAGAGGGTTCAAAGAAAGGATGGGTTCATAGGACCTCATGGATTAAAATCTTCCAGGCGAGTGCCCCCAGGAGAGAAGTTCTGAAGACAAAGATAAAAAATTGTTACGAGGATAAGGAGTACTCTGAAGAGGGAATGATGTCGATATCCATGGAACTCACCGGCCAATTTAAATTATAAAAAGGACATATGCAAAGGCAGAAAGCAAGGACAGGGGATAGAGAGTGTGTATAAAAGCATGGCTCGGTCCTGGGGAAACAATATGGTACACTAAAGCTCTCAATGTGGTGATGCTGGGGGACAGAAAAGAACAAAAAAACCCAAAGGCTTTTTTTTTTAAAGCTATAATGAGGCAAAGAGGATGATCAAAGAAAGCACTGCAGAGGGGAGACTACTAATGCACAAAGGAGAGAAGGAAGAAATACTCAACTGTTATTTCGATTCTTTTTTCTCTTCCAAGGAAAATGATCTTTGGCTTAGAAAGGGCAGAACAGAAGTGACCCAAAGGGAACAGTAAGACAGTGAGGGAGGATCTAGCACCAGGCTTGGAAGAACAAGATCCCATAAAGAATCAGGGAGCGTGGCTATTTCTGAGACGGGGAGCATGGAAAATGAGGACCCGAGGAAAGGGAAGAAAGTAGAGTCCAGCAGCTAGCGGCCACTGAACTTCCCTCTGACTCTTAGCACATTCTGGAATGATTATTAAGGGAACGGCCAGCGAACACCCAGAACGGGCACGGCTGATCATGAGCACATCAGGCCAGACTGGTGGTGACAGTGTTACTGGAGTGGTACATCAAGATAAGAGGATGAACACGATTTAACTAGATTTGAGCAAATAATTTAATAAGGTTTATCATATTATCTTTATGGACAAGATGGTAATATATGAGTGAGACAGTAAAGTTAGTTGGATTCAGACTCAACTGACCAGATCCAAAAAATAGTCACTGTTTAACCCCATTTGGGAAAAAAGTCTCTAGTGGAGAACTCCAGGGATTTGTGCTTGACCTTGGGTAGCATTTTACTGAGGACTCTGGTAAAGGTGTAGACTGAATGTTTACCAAATCCATAGGCTAGAACTCAAGATGAATCAATCAAGATGAAATTTAATAGTGATGTCCAGTACTGTAGATTCAGGTTCAGAAAAAGAAACCTTACAGGTCCAAGACGTAGGAGTGTGGCCAGAGAGCAGTTTGTCAGAAAAAGATCTGAGGGTCTTGGTGAATTTACAAGCTTATTAGAATTAACAGTGTGATAGGGGACCCAAAAAAACCTAATGTGATCTTAGGCTACATTTAAGAAGGGCAGTATACAGGACAGGGAGGTGATGAGTCCTTTTTCACTCTGTCCTGTCCAGATCACATCTGAAGTCCTTCCTTGTATATTTTAGGAAGCACAATCATAAGCTGGAGGGAGTCCAAAAGATGGCCACCAGAACGCAGAGGGGCCTCAAGATCATGAGGAAAAGATCAAAGGATGGTGGCACATTTCACCTGAACAAAAAAAGACGGTGGAGTGGAAAAGGAAAATACACAATCTGTCCTTTAAAGGTTTTAGAGGAGGCTCTGTGGGTGAGGGATTAGCCATATTTGCATAGCCCTGAAGGGCAAAATTAGGAGCAAGAGGCAGAGGCTGCAATTAGGGTATAGAGAGACTCAATGTAAAGCAAACCACCCTAACAACAGGCACTCGAGCAACACAGGAGTCTGGGTAAAGCCCACTGCTGCTCACCTACGGGTTGCCCTCCTTCCTCTGATCTGCTGAGAAGCAGTGTCTGGTTCTCTGCCCTGCCCTGACACCCAACAGCCACCAGGCCCTCCCCTCTGGGCTCTCCCATCACAATGCTCACTCCTCTAAAGCAGAGATGACCTTGCTCTTCTATTTATATCTTCCAAGCTCAGCCCAGGGCTTGGCTCCATAGAAACACTTAACAAATGCTTTCTGACCAGTCTCTTCTTTCATTCCCTGCCAGTCCCTCTTCTCTGCTCCTGTAAAAATGAGAGCCCCAAATACAGTGTCCCTCCCCAACCGCCCTGGACAGTGCACCTGGCCTGAAGGCTTCCAACACTCTTCTTCGTAGCTCCTTGCCTGAAACCATTGCAGCTCACATCAACAGGCTGTTCTGGGACTAAGCTCCAACCTATGGCTGTGAGAAGAAACAAATGGCCAAGTCAGTTATGCGCTGTACTAAAGAAAAGATGGATAAGTGTGCAAATTAATGCTGAGTGGGGCGGAGGGGAGTGGGGCAGAGACCGGCAGGGCTCAATAAGGTCATCTAGGCATTCTCCTCCACTACTGTCTTACTCTGACTGAGCTGCTGAAGGTTCTATCAACAGAACACCAGCTCTGGCAGACCCTCTCCCGCCACAAAGGGAGACCGGCTACATTGCGAAAGCTCGTCCCCAAGCTGAGTGTGGATGGGTTTTCTGGCTGCAGCAGGACTGCAATATGTATTGGTGCAATAAGTACACCCAAAAAACCCAACACAGAACCTTGAATGTAGCCAAGAATATAATGAAATCACACTGAAAAATACGTATATTATCATTTCTTGGAATTATGGTATAAAAATGTGGTTAATTGGTGGAAATCTGATTTTTGGTGAGAATAACCATCCACCTTATGCCAGAGGGTATTAGATGGACTGGATGGGGAAATCTGGGGGGAGGTCACTCCTGGGTAAATTCCTCACTCTGAAAACTGGATCTCAAGGTGCTCCAGGGTATTGATGGGAGAAGGCCAGGTCACTCACCAGCCCCACAAGGAACAACTTTCCCTGGGCAGTTAGCTGTCTTTGCCTGGACTGCACAGCGGCTGTGTTCAAACAGCAAATTTGACTGAAGCATTTTCAGCTCTTGGACTTGGAAGCCTCTGGGCAAACTGGACACATGCTGACACCTAGTTGTGGGGAAAAAACTCATTATTTAGAACAAATGGTGCCCTGACACTCACTCCCTCTCTCCCACCATCCTTCACCCCAGACTTCCCAATGACCAAAAACTAAAGGCCAATTCCTTAAGATATGTCCAGAAGCCCCATCTACAGGATCAGACACATTCACTCCAGGCTGAGGAAACCAACAGTTTGGTGTCTCCCTGCCCCCACCTTGGGGAGAAAGCAGTGAGGTGGAGTTTTGTTGGGGATGTGGGTTTTTTTTTTTTTTAAAGTGAGTTTCTTTAGTTTAACCTAGTCAATCTGAAAGTCATGGCTGCAGGAAGAAAGGCTCCCCTGGGACTCTGGGTGGACTTACATATAAAACATGCCCAAATAAAGGTTGGAATCAAAGGATGGCCTCCTATACAAAGTGCAGTTTCACTTTTTCTTGTGTCTTCCCTCTAAATATGCCCCACAGAGAATGATGATGACAATCACAACCGCAGGCCCTCAGAACTAATTTATGCTTATGGCGGTTAAAGTGCACCCCCCCTTCCACCCAGCAGACCCATGGATTCTGTGGCAGTGCCATGGAAACAGCCCCGTACAGATCTCCCAGGGAGGAGGTAACCTGAGCTTGCCACCTGAGAGACAGCATGGTACGTGAGTTCATAGAAGCATACATTAGAATTAGAAAATGGTTTGGGTCTTAGCTCCATCATTGACTAGATGGATGATCTGGGCTGAGTCACGACCTCTCTGAAGCATCAGGACAGCAGCCATTCTCTCACCTGCCAATCACGGCTCTCTTCATGGCCTCAGAACTGTATGGGCATTTTCCAACGACCAGAGCTGCTAGGTAGATGGGCTCCTCTAGGAAGTGCATCAGCAGGGCACCCTGGCACCCAAGCACGTTCCATCTCGCTAGCTTATCACTACAGGACATAGAGCAGGTCCGGTCTCCTCGGCCTGGCTTCACTCGGAGTAATCCCACCTGGTGATATTCGACACCAGGCTTCTGAGCATCTCTGGCTCCCCCTGGCACACATTTTGCTCCAGTTCTATAAATATCCACTACTTTTACACCAACTGGGACAGTCCCCTGAGTAGCTGCTGGTCCATTTGCTGGAGGGCTGGAATTGCTGGAATCTGGGGGTATTTGTAAGCTTCCTTCTTTCCCAGTAGAGTAATGCACGGCTATATCACTGGGGATCTCCTTGGGAAGATCCCTGGGTTCTGTCCTCATCCTCTTGGTTATAAGGTGGGCAGAGATTTCTTCACATTTCCTTTTATTATCCAGTACCATAGGGTCACTAATGGCATCTGCTGACCGGCTGACTGGACAACAAGGCTGGTCTTCAAGCTCTAGCATCGGGATGATGGAGGCATCCCCACCTGCAGGAGAAAATATTTCCTAAGTCAAAGACCATTTTTACAGTCCTGACCACCTGAGAGGAGATTAGCAACATTCTGGCCACTTTACAGTCTCAGAAATTACGCCAAGAAAAGAATGATGATAACCAGTTGTGAGCAAGATAACCTCTTTAAATAACCAATGTTTTGTTTCTAAACTGCCTTCCTAAAGAAACCTGAAATGAGTTCACACACTTCCAATTCTGAGTGTGGCAAGGGAGAGAGGGATTACTTTTTTGTTTCAGACATAACAACCAAGGCAGAGAACAAACATGTTTCAGGTGAAAAGTCACCAGGGGTCAAGTATCTAGTCTGAGCCTGGATTTGAACTCAGGTCCTCCTGACTCCAGGGCTGGTGCTCTATCCACCGCACCACCTAGGTGCCCCAACAATTTTTTTAAGAAAAGAAAAAAAAGAGAAAACCAAATCACATGTTGAACAAATATGTTTGAAAACATATGTAGTGTCTCAGTCACACCTGTGGATCTCCCACCTCTCCAAAGATGTTGCCCAAGTGATCCTTAAAATTTAATATTGTCTCTACTCCAGATGAAGAAAATCCAATGCCAGACTGGAACGTTTGTTCCCTACTGGCCAGCTTTGATCTGCCCTCAATTACACTGCCCCTTCAGTACACGCCTCAGTGAGCTACAAAGAGTATAAGTCATATGGATAGGTAAAACGTTATCAGAACAGACTTTATTTTTCCCAGTCTTTGGCTGTATCAAACGCTGCTTGAAATAACAAATCTGGCAGCTGACATTCGCCTAACACTGCCTCGTTTACAAAGTGCTTTACAGGTTTTCTTTTGTTTCATCTTCACAGCAGCCCCATGAGGGAGAGACTGTGAAAGAACAGCCAACATGAAGGCACTAACTCTTGCAGAGGGAATGTGACTTGCCCAGGGTCAAACACAAGCAGAGGCATGGGCATCTGACAAGGCCTTCTGGTTCCAAGTACAGCATTCTTTCCATTGTATTTCTTTGCCACACATAATGGAGAGTCATCCACTAGGCCAGAGCTTGAGAATCTTCTGCTTACAGGACTCTCTCTTATAATGGCCGCATTTCAGGCCATTTTAAGAATACTGTGGTAGAAAAGTATATCTGACTTTGACTTGGAAGACCTGGGTTCAAGTCCAGCTTGAAGTACCTGAATCAGCTCTATTACTTACTAGCTGTATCCACATGAGCAAGTCTTTCACTTTTGGGAGCCTCAGTTTCCCCTTCTGATCATTCTACTTGTGACGACCAAACGAGAGAATGAATCTGCAAGACTTCTGTAACTATAGAGCCAGTATTAAAATGGGTTTTGTTCTTGATGACTTTTTTCCTTAAGGAAATGAATATTTTCTTTCTGAATCTTCCGATGGTTTTATTTCTCCATAATCCTATTAAGGTACCGACAATCCTGCCTAGATAAACACACTAATAAGAATGCTGACATTAGACAGACACAACCACATCGGTGGGAAGATCAATGTAGAGACAATGTAGAGACATTACAGGATACTGTAAAAGGCACAGTAATACTGTAGCTTTTACTTACTCAGAAATCAATGGAAAACTGTTTACATCACTAAGACAAGAAAATGGGGACTATCATAAACACAAAGGCTCAATTATACTCACATGGAGTGTGGCTAGAAAAAAACACAAAATGAAAGTCTGGTTTGAGTTTCCACATCCCTGTCTTGGTTCCCGGCATAAAGATGCTGTCCTCCTGCAGGCTGACTGCAGTCTTGAGCTGATGGAACAGGTACCTGCCAGGTAACAAGGATTAGCATAAATGAGAAACTGGCAAAATATGGCTGGGCACTCCCTCAGGAAGGAGCTGCTACCCAGAAGGACTGAGCTCAGAACAGTGGTCAGGTACAGAAAGATAATCCATGCTGCCCTTTTATCTCCAAACCTCTCCTACCTCAAGAGTCAAGGTGATTTTTTAAAAACAAATGTTAAAAAAAAAATTGTTTTCACATGCAACTGGGAAATAATATATACAGGAAATGGGGTATAGAAATCTATCCTGCCCTACCGGAAAATTGAAGGGGAAAGGGATAAGAGAAAGGGGGAGATAGAAGGGAGGGCAAATTAGTGGAAGGGGTATTCAGAATGCATGCCATCTTGGGGTAGGGGGAGGGATGAGATGGGGAGAAAATTTGGAACTCAAAATCTTGTGGAAGTGAATGTTGAAAGCTAAAAACAAACAAACAAAAAAAAAAGAGTCAAGGTGATTGATTTCTTTTAGGATACTGGTCCTTACTGCATAACCACCATTATCTGTGGCACCAGGGCAATTACTGGGTAGTCTCTCTCTATGCAGAGCCTGGTCTAACTTAGCTTTTTAAGCTGGACAGCTATAATATGCTAATGGAAACTCTAAGTTAAATCAGGGCCCCGTGCCAAAGGATTCCCGACTTCACTTAAGCTAACAGTATTGTGAACATATGAAAAACAATAGTGCACCAACCAATATTATTTGAGCAGGTGATGCCTCAGTGAATGAGTAGGGCTTGGTCGCTGCAGAAGTTATTTTTAAAAATCTACCTGGTAGGTAGGAATTAATGAACAAGCATTTATTAAGCACTTACAATGTGCCAGACACAGTGAGATACAAAGAAAAAGCAAAAAATGATCCCTGTTCTAGGGGGGATTAAAAGTATCTAAATTAGACCAGAAAATGTAAATACAGAGTAGTGGCAAAGGAACAATGGAGTTCCCAGAGAGCGTGGGAATCGGCATCATCTATTAGAGCAATCATTGTTATTGTACCTAGTGACTAAAGAGAAAGAGGAGCTAGAATTCTTTTTTGGGGGGGTGGGGTGGGGGGGGAGAACAATCAGGGTGAAATGACTTGCTCAGGGGCCACACAGCTAGCAAGTGTCTGAGGCCAGATTTAAACTCAGGTCCTCATGACTCCAGGGCCAGAGCTCTATCCACTACACCACCTAGCTGCCTCGAGGAGCTATATTTCTAAGCAGAAGCCCGATTGAGGGCAGGGAATCTTAACATTTTTGTGTGTATCACAGACCCCTTGGTCAGTATGGCAAATATTATGGACCCCTTCTCAGAATCAAGTTTCTTAAAAAAAACCTTGTAATTGTAGGAAATGCTAAATTTCAGATAAAGGTTGATGAAAATAAAGAAGTAATCTTTTCCTATCCAAGTTCACAGATTCCCGGAAATCTATTTACTGACCCTTTGGGGGCCCATGGACCCCAGGTACTATACTATTTTTTTTTTTTAAATTTTTTTCCCCTCAGGTACTATTCTTAAGAACTGCTAGTCAGTGGTAAGGGAAAGTCCACACCACTGCCAAGTTTGCTGAGCAAGAATTTCCTTAAAACTTTTTTAGGTGTTTTGTTTCTTCTTTCTGGTGGTTCCAGTTCTTACCTACAACATCACTAACGTGAAAATATGTTTAATAGGAACATATATGTATAGCCGATATCAGACTGCACACTGTGTTGAGGAGGGGGAGAAAAATTTAAAACTCAAAAATTTATGGAAGTGATTGTTGATCATTCAAAATAAATTAATTAAAAATTAAAAAAAACTTTTTTTAGTTATAAGGAATGTGGTAGAAAGCATTAAAATAGTTTTAAGAGAAAATTTCTAATACTTCACCTCTGGAAATTCCTCTTGGCTATGACCTCAGCATGACTGTCATTAAGGATGTCTCCTGTGGCAAAAATAAGAAACCCTGTGAAATCATACAGAACTTGAGGAGGGTTCCCCCACACCTCCAAGTGCCACATGACTTTTCTGCCTTTATCCCCAGAAACAGAAAGATACTTCCCCTACCACTTTGGACAAACCATGCTAACTTTCTTGATACTTTACAACCACTCAGAATGATACATTAATAGCAAATCTTTAACCTAAAGGGCTCAGCCTCCGATCTGCAGCATATCGGATGATTCTTTTGCTTACAATAAGCTCATGTCTAGGGACTAAAAATGTTTTCCTACCTGCAGTGAGAGCTGTTGACACACGGGAGTAAGGCTCTCTTCAGCAACCTAACATACCCATGGCTGCCCACTGCCTCTGGTGTGACCATTGTCCTATCAGGAAGAACAGCTTTCTTTTAACCACTATAACCTGGAATGGCCCTGATGCTTTCTGCTCCACGTGTGATAGTGAGAGCCCCAGGGGCACAGACTTAAAAGAACTAAGGTTACAGACAAGTTTAATAGCCGAAATACCCATGGAAATTTTCACACTGATGTCCCCCCAACCTGTGTCTGAATTCTGGTTGTTTTCCTTGAAACAGAGAAGTATAAAAATGCTATAAAGCTACATTTTCCTCATTCCATTCTACAGAGTGCCAGACACAATGCAAAATTGATGAAAGGAAATCTCTGGTATATGTAAATATCAGATGGATGTTATTAGTTTAACCCCCTCCTTCTGAAATTAATTGTTTCTCACTAAATGGCTTTTCATCCCTTCCTGTGCTTAAACAATAACTAAGCACTGGATGCCCCACTAACTTCAGCTGGCAACAGCCCCATCTCTTGCTAGGAACACAAAAGAAAGAAAGCTCAGCATCGACATTAGTTTCAAAGGTGTCAGAATCTACAGCTCCCACCCCTGCTTACCACTTTTTCTCATTTTGGACAGGCCAATGCATTTCGTTCCTGTTCCCATGGAGACAACTTCCTTAGTTACTGGGAAAAACAAATTATCAAATGAGTTCCCATTATTTAAATGTTCCCCAGGTTTAATGAGTCAGGTCACTTAGCAGCCTATTGCCATGAAAAGATTCCTATAACTAACAGTACATCTGGTACAAACCAACCAGTAGGATCCTAGGAAAGGCGAGGGGATTGTCACTTATCCCAGAGCATTGTGAGACTTACAGAATGGAGAAGCTGAAAAGACTTAGTGAGTAATCCCTTACTCCAGGGATGGGGAACCCGCGCCCTCGAGGCCACATGTGGCCCTCTAGGTCCTCAAGCATGTCCCTTTGACTTCCCGAAGTCTGGATTCAGTCAAAGGGCCGAAGGTTGCCTACCCCTACCCTACTCCAACCCCTTCATTTTGCAGATGGAGAATCTAAGGTCCCAGAAAGTTAAGTACTTGCCCATAGACAAACATCCAGAAGATCTCCTAATCCTCCCATGATTCATTCCAGTGCCCCACCCTGACTCCTCAAGTCCAATGAGGGGACAAACATTTAGGGATTATATACCACATGATAATTTTGTTTATAAGACTACTGCACCCTGGCATTCTTATACAGCCGCAATTTAAAGCATTGTCAGAACTTATCCTGTATTTACCTGTCAGTAACACTGGGTCCTCGTAGGGGAATAGAAGTAAGCTCTTTGAGGGCAGGGGCCACCTCACGTTTAGCTCTGAATTCTCAGGGTCTGGCACACAGCTGCAGCCTTAATAAAAGCTTGTTGATGGCTTATTAGGTGTTGTGGAAGAAGACAAAAAGTTTTACCTGGTAAGGATTTGTCACTGGGGTCATGAGAGCCTTCTGCTGCAGAATTCACCTTAACCACAGCTGCCAGCAAGGTCCATTCTCGGTCTGGTTCAGGCTTTCCCTGCTTGGGCAGCCTAGTGCTGTAGTGAGTGTAGCACAGATGGGCAATTTCATCTGCAGTCCACATGATCTGAGCAGAAGCCCTGACACCAACCTGGATCAGATCTGCTAGGTCATCCTGGAAAATGGAAAATAGAGAAGAAAGGAGTAAGGACAAGTACCTAGATACTTCCAGCAGAAATTTGTGCAGTCAGCTCCAACCAAAACAGTCTTCCTTTTCTGTCACACTGTACCTACATATATGGATCTTTCAAACACAAGGCTCCCACAACACTCCCACGGCAGACAAATCAAATTAAAATGTAATTGGTAAATAGTTAACAAAATAAATAAAAATAAAACAATAAAACATAGATCCTGTAAATACGTGGCTTTTGAAGTCAATATGCAGCCCCAGTGGATCCTCATGGATGGTTTAGTGGCTTTCTATTTGAGCTTGACACCACAGATAAACACCATTATTCCACAAAACTGGTACTCCTATTGGCAGACAACACTTAAAGAAATGCCATAGATGGCAAAAATCACATTGTCTCACGAGCAGGACCTGTTGATTTAAACTATTCTACCTTGGTCATGAACTTATATTTACATCAGTTTTCAGTTTACAAAGTGCTCTCCCCATAAGACAGAGATAGATTAGATAATATATCAAATACTACCCCCATTTTACAGATGAAGAAACAGGGACTCAGAGATTGTGACCCTTCCCCCTTTCTTCAGTATTGGCAACAAAAGAGTAACCTAAAGAGCTCACCATCTACCTCACAGGGCTGTTGTAAGGCTCAGATGAGGCAATATAGGGAAAGGGTTTTGTATACTCTAAAGCACTATTTCACTGACAGGTTAAGGATGTTATTTTTCAAAACTGGAGCCTCCTGAGTTTTTTGGAGCAAAGGGCAGAAGTGGGGGAAGCCAAAACTAGCAACTCCACCAATTACTCACAGCTCTATACAACCTAACTAGTTATGATGGGAAACAACACATCGACCTGTAAGGAAATCACAGGACATAGCATCGAAGAGCTGTGTCCCTGGATGTAATATAGGAAGGGATCCCTAGATTAAGCTGAGTCTCCCTGGAATTAGATTCAGAAACTAAAGTCCAGTTAATCAAGTACCTGTTGACTGGAAAGGGTAATGTGCTTCACTCCAAAGAACCATACATCATCATCCTCCAGGCTTCTATTTCTGGAGTCACGATGCACAACGGGCATTTCTTTGTGAATACCACTCAATTCAATTAAGTAAACATTGCTTACCACCTACAGTATAGGCATCCAGACGAAAGACAAGAAGACAATCTGGGTGACTGGGTCTATTACTGCATCTTTTAGTGTCCCAAGCAACTCTTTTAAAGACTCTAAATTTCGGAGGAGTCACTGCGCGGACGGAGGAAGATTGCCTGTTAATCTCTACATCCCAATGAAAGCACACTTTCAGATCCAAACTCAAATCTGCACAATCCCAACTAAAATCTCACTTCTACAGGAAGCCTTCTCCAAACCCTCTTAATTCCAGTGCCTTTCCTTATTTCCTCTTATCCTGCATATTGCTCACTTTGTAGATATTTCTTTGCATCTTGTCTCCCCCATTAGACTGTAAGTTCTCTGAGGGAAGAGACTGTCTTTTGCCTCTTTTTGTATCTCTGTTGCTTAGCACAGTGCCTGGTACATGATAGGTGCATAATAAATGTGTGATTAATTGATCATGCCTCTCTATGGGGCAACTGTGCTAGGGACTACGTAAAGATGAAAAACAATATAATCTCTACCCTTAAGGAGCTTGCAGTGTAATAGGGGTAACAAGGCACATATATAACCATGTCACAAGGTACAACTGGGATAAAGGCAAAAGAGATGGTCTAGACCAAGGGTGGGGAACCTTCAGCCTCCTTTTATTAAGGGGATTTGCTCTGTGAAGTTTGGATTCAGTCAAAGGGCTACACTTGAGGACCTAGAGGGCCACATGTGGCTTTGAAGCCGAAGGTTCCCCACTTTTGCTCTAGACATATAACATCTCCCAATGTACCAACTCAATAGTTTTGAAACAATACCAGATTTAAAATTCTGGAACTGGGGGCAGCTAGGCGGCGCAGTGGATAAAGCACTGGCCCTGAAGTCAGGAGGACCTGAGTTCAAATCTGGACTTAGACACAAGATACTCATTAGCTGTGTAATCCTGGGCAAGTCACTTAACCCTGATTGTCTGGGGTGTGAGGAACAAACATACAATTCTGGAGTTTACCATTCTTCTTAGACTTCGAACACTGGCCTCAATATGTCCCTCTCCCTCGACCTCCATTACACTGATAAACTTTTTGTGAACTTAGTTGTTTGGGAAAGAAATGAAGTTTAAGATTAGTTCCTTAGCTAATAAAAATTATTACTTAATTTCACTTAGGTATTGTTCTCTTTTAATTTAGGGATTGGGAATTTATTGCTGGATGAGACTTTAAGAGTTCATTTAACTATGCCCAAAGGCTATAAAACTGTGTATATTCTTTCACCAAAATCACTGTATGCCAAAGAGATCAAAGAAAAAGGCCCTATTTGTAGAAGGTATTTGTGGTGGCTCTTTTTGTGGTGGCAATGAATTGGAAACCGAGGGGATGCCCATCAATTGAGGAATGGCCAGCCAAGTTATAGTATATGATTGTGATGGAATACTACTGTACTGTAAGAAATGATGGGCAAGTTAGTTTCAGAAAAGCCTGGGAAGACTTATGTGAATTGATGAAAAGTGAAGTGAGAACCAGAATACCGTACACAGCAACAGCAATATTTTAAGGATGATCAAGCCTATGAAAGACTGAGCTGCTCTCATAGACAGTGATCCAAATCAGTTCCAAAGGACCCAAGATGAAAAATGTTATCCACCTCCAGAGAGAGAAGTGAGGAATTCTGAGTGCTGATTAAAGCAAATTAAAAAAAATTTTTTTTCTTGTTTTTTTCCTTTTTTTTTTTTTGCAACACGGCTAATATGGAAACATGTTTTGCATTGCCTTCAGGTGTATAATTGATATAAAACTGCTTACCTTCTTAAGGAGCGGGTAGGTGTGGAAGAGGGAGAGAATTTGGAACTCAAAATTTTTAAAATAACTTAAAATTTTTTTAACACATACTTGGGAAATATTTAATGAAAAAAAATAGTTTTTATAAGTTCATAGAATCTAAACCTTGTTTTACAAAACCCACAGATTTTAGTGATTTACCAAAGGTTCCACACAGAACCTCAGAATTGGAAACTGGCCCTCAGGGGTCTAGTCTCAGTAACTCAGCAGGAATCCCCTCTTCAATTCTCCCTGGGTAAGTGGTCATCGGGATTGCATTTGAAGATGTCCAGGGATGGGGAGTTCACTATCTTTCGGGGTAACTCATTCCATTTTTGGATAGCATTAACTGTCAGGAAATTGTTTACATATACAACCTAAATCTCTCGACAATTATGACCCTCAGCTTTTACCTCTGCCCTCCAGGGCCACACAGAACGAAAATCTATGAAAACCTTTTCTCACTCTGCCACCCAGTCCAACCCAAATGGATACACACACACACACACACACACACCATCTTTGTTTTTCAAAATGCTTTACACACATCATGTCATTTGAGCTTCACAACTCAATGATTTTATTATCCCCATTTTACAGATAAGAAAACTAATAGGCTGTGACTTGGCAACGAGCCCCCGGCTATAGTAAGTCTCAAGAGCTGGGTCTGAACCCCGGAATTCCCGGCTCTAAGTCCAGCATTCAATTCAGTAAAAACGTTCCCTAAGCAATGAGCCAGGCCTGGAAAGGGCTTTTTCCAAGCCGGCCCTTGGGCGCTCCCTTTAGCTGGAAGGGCTGCGCCCTAGCCCGCCTGGCTCGCAGGCTCAGGGTCAGAGAAGGCGCGAACCGGGAGGACCCGGACCCACGCGGCCCAGTCCCCGAGGATCGAGGAAGGACGCGCTTCCCGCGTGCCGGGAACCCCGATAAGCTCCAGGGAGGGAGCTCGCGGCCTACACGCGTCCGGGGACAGCAGGGGCCGGGCAAAGCCACCCGCGCTCCTCATCCAACGCGAGCAGCCCAGACTCTGGCCCCGGCCTCATCCCTCCTCGCCTCCCGAGCCCGGGCCACCACGACCAATCCTGGCCCGGCTCCGCTCACCTCTGACCCGTCGGACCTGGCGCCGGAACTGAGAAGTCAGCCAACTGAGCGGATGGGACGTCAGGCAGCCTTTCGGGGCGCAAAGCACGCTGGGATATGTAGTATTCATGGTCCTACCACAGTAAGAGCTCGTGTCCTGGACCTCAGGGTAACCCGCCACAACGAATGCGCATGCGGAAAAAGGCGGGCACGTTTCAGGATGAAGAAATGCCAAGGCAATCTCTTCGGACGTCTTTTCTGCGGCGGACTAGACAAGCTGCTTTCCTTCCGAAGTGGGGTGGAGTGGGGCGGGACTGTACGCGCGACACATTTAAGTTTAATCTGATTTAAACATTAATAGCGGAGCAGTGTTTTGCATGACTTCACATGTATAATAGGAATTATACTGCTGGCCTCGATGGGTGGGGGAGGGGCCGGAAGGAATTTGGGACTCAAAAATATTTTAAAAGTTTAATCTGCATCATTAGCATTTTCTCCCATCACTTTATTAAGTCTAGAAACCAACAAAATAAGGAATCACGTCCTGGTTTACAGACTCTAGTTGGTAGTAAATGGCAGAAGTAATCCGGACCATTTTTCTGCCTCAGTTTCTCCTGCTGTCTAAGGTCACTTTCAGCTACAAGTGCTAGGCTTCAGCCTGTCCCTAGAATGTCTTTGTTAAAGGACTTAAGTCACCCAGCAAATTTGGGAGAGACAAGCATGGGAATCAGTAGCCATTGCTTCCCCTTTCCCTCCAAGCTCAGAGGAAGAGACTTAACTTTTTTTGCCATTCAGGGGCAGTTTTGGGTGGTGTGTCTCCTCTTCGATCCATCTTCTACAAGGATAGGCCTGCTGATGTCATGCCCCTGCTCAACAAGCTCTATATTTATTGACTCTTGGAAAACGTTGGCCATTAAAAGACCTTTCCTCCAGCCCATTTTATGTATGTTTATTGCACAGAATTCGATTCATACATTCCAGCATCCTAGAGTTCTTCATTTCTGCCCCGATGTTTCCTGTATGCATCATCCAAGCTCCCGTGATTCTTGGAATGTACTCCCTCCTCACATCCACCTCAGAAACCTTAGCTTCCTTTGAGGACCATCTGGAGTCCAACGTCTCCCCCTCTTTCCCTGCACCCCCCAGGAAATTAGATTTAGGTGGTTTTGGATTGCTCCTGGAAGGGAAGGACTCTGACTTTTGTCTGTATCCCTAGACCCAGTACCTCAGAGGCTATTTGTAGAATGAATGGGGAATACAAAGAACACAGGATCTGAAAGTTGAGAAGAGCTAAAAGACTGCCCTTCACAACATCCAAAAGAGGTGTCATTCCACCTTGGCTAGAAGACCCCCTTGGAGGAGCAGGAGGTGGCCGTTCTACGTTGAGACAGTGCACGTTGTGGAGAATCCTGGTTTTCCTGACGTCAAACTTATATTTGCTTCTGGGCAACTTCTACCTGCTGTTTTTGGGTCTACCTTTTTTTTACAGAGGGGCCCTTCAGAGACCTGTAGACAGCCTGACGTGGCCTCCAGGCTTTTCTCTTCCAGACTTAGCAGTGCCAGTTCTTTCTGCAAACACCTGTTAAACAGTTTGTAAGGTGACGTGGATGCAAGGCCTGCAGTTAATTCTCTTCAGATCATCAGTGTTCTTAACCTGTGGTCTCCACACGTGGTCTCCCTAGGTTGGAGGGACTTATTTTCAAAAGCCATACCTCTCTTAATGGAGCCTAGGATCACGTTTGTGGGGGAGGTATGCCAAAGCAGGGCTGCTTTGTATTGAGTTGGTTGTCTCTAAAATCCCCTGTTTAGGAAACTTGAAAATGACCTTTGGAACCCAAGTGACCTTTTACATTTATCACTAGTGAATTTCATCTTATATGCAGCCCCCTGCTCTGGCAGTTCAACATCTTTCCACTGGGTCTGTGTCATCCAGTGTTTGCAAAGGTGATCAACCTGCCAGCTCAGCCTTCATCCAAGTCAATAATAAAAATGTTAAACAGCATACATTAAAAGTTCATGCCCTCAAGGAACAGTAAAGAGATATAATACCAAGCAGAAAGGGCTCTGCAGAAGGTTCTAAGAAAATTTCAAATGACAATCTATACATCTTCCCTCCATTTCTTCAGAATCCCTGACCTGTGCTAACTTCTGGTCACCACTCTCCTACCAAAACAATCTGAGGGAATTTTAGAGGGGTCCAAGGAAAAAGCAACAACTGCATTACGGCTATAGCCCCTCATTAAAAAAAAAAAAAAAAAAAAGGATTTTTCTTGGGCTTCTTCGGGACTCAAGGCCACAGGGGTTCATCAGAATTTCCCTTTCCACAGGAAACCCTTTCCAAGAGCCCTATAAGTCTTGCCCAGCCTGTGTCCTAATTTACTTTGGTTGAAAAAGAAGGTTAGAAGCCCATTCCAAAGTAGTAGACATATATATTAGTTTACCTGAACTGCTGGTATTCCAAGACTTAAGAAATAAGTGAAGTAAAGCAGGAAAAGAGAAAAATGGTTTATTTGGTGGTGAGAAGTAGAAAGCACCCCTGGCCACACTGCCTTAGGTGAGAGACATCCATAGGACTGAATTCTGGTCACTCACATCAATCCTACTGTCCCTGAATCCCTCGTGCACATCAGAAGAGGCTGAACTCCTCTCCTCTAGTTGGAGGCAGCAGCCACTGTGCCTTCAGGCAGGCCAGCATGTGGTGGGCTCTCCTTCTTCTCTTCAGGTTTCATGGCAGGAAACAGAAGGACCTCCTGGAGAGAAAAACATCGTCAAGTGAGGGCAAGGCTCCCTCTGAATGCTCCTGCTGACACTGCCCTGCCCTACCCTAGCCCAGCCCAGCCCCTCTCCGTGGCCTCGGTCAGGAGGCAGGTGCCTGGTGCACAGATCTGGCCAGGAGAAGAAATCAGCCAGCTCCTTTCCCCCTTCAGTCCTAATTAGAGGAGACCAACCACCTCACAAAGAGGAAGCACAAGGCTGGCTCTTCTCCCTGGATTTACACTTTACCTTTCTATAGCTAGGGGCAAATAGCATTTAGGTTTGTTTGTTTATTGTGCTTTGGGATCAGCATGTCTTCAGCACAGATGGGCCTGTCGCCATTTACCTTGATATTGTTAGAGTCAGTAAGAAACATAGTGAGCCTGTCGATGCCCATCCCCCAGCCGGCTGTCGGCGGGAGTCCATACTCCAGGGCGGTACAGAAATTGTCATCGATGACCATGGCTTCATCGTCCCCTGCAGCCTTGGCCTGGAGGAGAGAGACAGACGCAAGGGCACGCTGAACACCTGCAGTGACTGGACGCCGGCAGTCCACTGACTTGCAGTGCCCACACTGCACTGTAGATCAAACTCTACAATGTGCAGATGATGCCAGATTCCCTTCCAGAAGAGGAAGAAAGCCATTTCAGAACAAAGGCACGTTTCTCAGTAAATAAAACCATATCCATGCCTCAGAGAGCACAGATCTGAGTCCAGCCATGCTAGACCGGTCAGCCCACTTCTAGGTAAGTCGGCCGGGGTCTGGATTTCCAGATGGGCTTCCCTTTAAAATGGCCTCAGTGTAATCCTCTCCTTTTTACACAAGGTCACAGACGGGACGAGATTTAAGCCCGTGTTTCTGGATTCTGTGTATGGTGCTGCATAGTACTTTGTTCTATAAACCACGGGTTGGACTCCTGCTCATTCATCCCTACCTTGGCCTGCTCTTCAAAAAGCTGCCGCTGCCGCACAGGGTCGTTCAGCTCTGTGTAGGCGTTGCAGATTTCCTTCTTCATCACAAAGAGCTCAAAGCGCTCAGTAAGGCCGTTCTTGGAACGATGCCTGCACAATGGAAGCCAAAAGACAGCAGTCAGCCAACTGGGCACCAGGTGCCTCGGGAGCACCAATAGGTGGTTTACTTAAGAAGTTCACAGAATCACAGATTTAGAGACAGAGAGGAGGGATCTCAGGGTTCTCCAGTTCATCCCACTTCTTTCAATTTTTGGATCCAGAGTTTTCCCACTATACTATGATGGGGCAAAGCCCATCAGTCACCTAACAATAGATACTTTAAGCACTGGTGATAGATCCTTTCAAGGTCACAAACCAGAACTCAGATATGTGCAAAGACTAGGCACTATGCCTTTCAGTAAACCCATAACATACAGTAAAGAGACACCAAAGAGCTAATCCTCTCCTGGGGAGCCATGCTGTATCTTACCACTTGGCCAGTGGGCTCATTATCTGTGGGTGGTCACAGATGAAGGTGGGGTTGATGCAGGTCACTTCCAGGAACTCACCTACAAGCTGAACAATAAAGGACACATTGCTAGAGAACAAGTTAGAATAACGCTTTCCTAGTCCCAATCCTAAGTCCCCACCCAAAGGAAGGTTACAACAGGCTTCTGAACATGGGGCTCATCCTTTTCCTAGCTATCTAGCTTGACTCCTCTGAAGATGTGTGAGCTGGATTCTCCTCACTGTGGGCTGCAGTCTTCACAGGGAGCAGAAGGAGCCATCCATTCCTGGATGAGAGGGACCAGAACCCAAAGCCACGCATGATCACTTACCTTGTCAAGAAGCCTGGCTGTAGTTCGGGGAGCGGGACACTCTACACCTCTCTCCACACAGATGTCATCAAGAA